GAAAGTTGTCCCCTTATTACATAACTATTGCTTTGTCTCTTCTCTTCCTACCCATTTAATTTATCAAGTCATTAGCATGAAACCCATCATTAGTTCAAAGTTATTTTCAAACACATGTTACTTTTTCTTTTGCCATTATTTAAATAGACCAATTGCGCTATTAACAAAAAACAAAAAGAAAAAACATTGAAACATCCAATATTGAAATTGGATGGCCAGTTGTTATATATATATATATGTCACATGGATTATTAATATAATTAATGTTTTTTAAACAGGATATTTGTGTTGGGGGTGTGAATTTCATATCGTAGAATTAAAGTCTTTCATAATAGTTAAAACGACTTGTGTTTTTCTACTCATTGCTAATTGATTTTAAGTTGGATGCTCATGAATAATTTGAAAATATTTAGATACATAAAAGATGAGAGAGAAAAAGAAATCTTGAGAACACATAAACTAAGACAATCGTTCTTGGTTCTATATTTAATTTTACAAAAGGAATCTATATATTATCTTTCCTCGCATGTATCTCCTCTTTTTTTTTTCTTAAACCTTCTTTTATCTTATTCCTTCTCTATCTTTTGTGGACAAACCATTTACGGTAGAAACCAAACGAGCTTTCATTTATTTATTTATTTATAATTAACAAAGAAGTAAAAAGCGCTCATGTTTCGTTTTGAATTTTAATTTACATGGCAGGAACCTAAGAAAGTTGAAGTACATTAAGAATTTCCATCAGTTTGATCTGCAATTCAAGAAGCACTGCGAGGAGGGGAAGTTACCAAACTATGTGGTGGTGGAGCAAAGGTTCTTTGATGTGTTATCATTTCCTGCAAATGATGATCACCCGTCCCACGACGTCTCTGAAGGCCAGAAGTTTATAAAAGAAGTGTATGAAGCATTAAGAGCAAGTCCCCAATGGAATGAAATGTTGTTTGTAATAATATATGACGAGCATGGCGGTTTCTATGATCATGTTCCAACACCTGTCACGGATGTTCCTAGTCCAGATGATATCGCTGGTCCTGAGCCATACAACTTCAAATTCGATCGTCTTGGTGTTCGGGTTCCAGCCATTTTAATCTCTCCATGGATTGAACGTGGAACAGGTAACTTAAACAACTAAACTATTTGTATCGTATTTACTAATTATAAAAGTATCACTTAAGGGTATCCCCTTGCATAAATTTCCCATACATGGATGGAGAAAAAAAAAAAAGTAGTCATTACAAGTCAGACACAAAAAATTACTGGTTTACTAATTAATTTTTTTTATAACAAAAATGCAGTGTTGCATGGGCCTTCAGGGCCATATCCCTCATCAGAATTCGAGCACTCCTCAATCCCAGCAACTGTGAAGAAGATTTTCAACCTAAAAGAGTTTCTTACAAAGCGTGATGCTTGGGCGGGAACCTTTGAGGGTGTCTTGAGTAGATCAACCCCAAGAACTGACTGTCCAGGTGAACCTAAATTTAAAGATTTTTTGTTTTCATACATAATATCTTTGTTATGCCTACAAATTTGTGGTGCTGTTGAATCACCGTTTGCGAGTTTTTGAGTGTTTCATCGTTTGACATCTCTGACTTTCGCAGTTACTTTGCCCGAACCTGTGAAACTACGAGAGACTACATCCAAAGACGGGGCCAAAATGAGTGATTTTCAAGAAGAAATAGTGCAATTGGCAGCAGCCATAAATGGGGACCATAGAAAGGATATTTATCCCAACAAACTGGTGGAGAAGATGTCTGTTTCCAAGGCTGTCAATTATGTGGAAGCATCGTTTAAGAAATTTTCAGATGAATGCGAGAAAGCCAGGGAAAGTGGAGCAGACGAATCTGAGATTGTGGTCTGTGCAACCTCACTTGAATCGCCATCTCCCAAGTCGTTTGCTAAAAAGATGTTTTCTTGCTTGGTTTGTGATCACTGATGATGACTCAAATTTTCATTTTCATTTTTTGTTTTTTGAATTGATTCCTAAGATTTGGTTTGTAATCACAACATACTTTATTTGCATTTCTTGTAATAATTAATTATTATTATTACAAATATTTCGTTGTTAGTTCACCTTTTTATTCTGTTGGTTCACTTTTCTTTCTTTTGGATATAAGCGATAGTCTAAACTATGAAGAGAGAGGCTTTTCACATACACACTACCAAGGTGTCATGAAATTATGGACCTAAAACCACTAGTATGCATATCAATACTGTTTTCCACTAGATTCATCAAAACAAAAATTGTGAAAAAGTTTTTCTATAAATATTTTTTTGTTCAATCATAAATTCAATTAAAATGTGAGAGTAGACTTCACCTCTTTCTAAGATACGAATCATAACAGTAGATGCCGGAAACACCAAATACGTACAAAAATACAAATGAGTACAATTTATGTCCACAAGTGATTATAAATTTTTTTTATAAAATTAGTGAAATACCCATTCCTAGACATAAAACTATAAATATACCCTATACTATTTAGTGTATATAAACACACCCAAAATAAACCCAAAAATCGACAGCTGTCGATTTTTGGATTCTGTATCTATGTTGGATTACGGTTTTGACCTTTTGGTTTGAATTTTGAGAAACAAGCCCAAAATTCGCCAGGTAGGATAGGAATGTCTTCAAATTTACGTTGCTGACTGAAAACTGTTTGGCATCCTCGTGATTTTTGTTCCAGCAGATCGAATATTCCAAACGAGCGTCGTTCGAACGAAGCGATCTTCGTTCACCTTTTCGAACGAAGCTCTGTATAATCTGGTTCCAGATCTCCTTTCTTTTTCGATTCTTCTGAGCTTGGTGTGAGCTGAGTTCTATTGCTTCATTCTTTGTTGAATTGGTGGTTTTTGGAGCGACATTGTGCTGCATGAGATTCGATTGGAGCTTGGTGCGATCTGCGATCTTCGATTTTGAGGTATTCGATTTTTTCTTGTGAATTCATATTCGATTTTTGAGGTATTCGATTATATTGTAGTCTGATTTTTGGTGATTTCATGTTTGATTAATTAAGTTGTTGATTAGGTTTTTGTTTTTAATTTTTGCAGTCTTGGAGTTTAAATTTGACATGCAGATCCAATTCTTCTTGATTTTATATGTTTATTTTTGTTATTGCTGATTTGGAGGTAAGCTATTGGATTTTCTGATTTCGTTCTAATTTGTACTTAGATATTCGTTTGAGTTTTAAATTGTGATTTTAATTTCTTTTTGTTTATAATTTGGATTGATTTCAGATTCTGATTGGTTGTGGATTTGCTCGTGTTTTGGTTTGAGCTGCGGTTAGAAATTTGTGATATTCGATTTGGTTTTCATATTAATTGAGGTATGTTTTTTCAGTTATATCTGAGTATATTCATGCCTTTTCAGTGCTGTAACAGTATTTGTAGTTAGAAAAAATGTTAATAAAAAGTGAAAGAACTGTTCAATAAAGTTCCAGTATAGGGTAATAACACTGCTTGTTTGCTATGAAATCCTATTTCTAATGTTTCGTTCTAATTGTAAAGTTCCAATATAGGGTAATAACACTGCTTGTTTGCTATGAAATCCTATTTCTAATGCAATCGTATTTGTAATGCACGTCTACCACTGTTAAGTTCCAGTATAGGGTAATAACACTGCTTGTTTGCTATGAAATCCTATTTCTAATGCAATCGTATTTGTAATGCACGTCTACCACTGTTAAGTTCCAGTCTAGGGTAATAACATTGCTTGTTTCCTATGAAATCCTATTTCTAATGCACGTCTACCTCTGTTACGTTCCAATCTAGGGTAATAACACTGCTAGATTCCTCTGAAATCCTAGTTCTAATGCATGTCTACACCCTGTAAAGTTCCAGTATAGGGTAATAACACTGCTTGTTTGCTATGAAATCCTATTTCTAATGCATGTTTTGGTTTGAGCTGTGGTTAGAAATTTGTGATATTCGATTTTGTTTTCATATTAATTGAGGTATGCTTTTTCAGTTGAATCTGAGTATATTCGTGCTTTTTCAGTGCTGTAACAGTATTTGTTGTTAGAAAAAATGTTAATAAAAGTGAAAGAACTGTTCAATAAAATTCCAGTATAGGGTAATAACACTGCTTGTTTGCTATGAAATCCTATTTCTAATGCACGTCTACCACTGTAAAGATCCAGTATAGGGTAATAACACTGTTATTACTAGTAGTCATTTTTGTTTTGTTTGTTGTTTTTTTGTGTAGAGATATGGATGATTCGAGAGTGGCAAAGTGCACCTATGGTGCTGGAACTTTAATGGTTATTTTTTCTTCAACTACTACTTTTGATTGGTTGTCCAATGAGTTGTGTAGTAGGTTTAAGCTTAAGTTAGGTCATTTTGAGTTGAGGTACTCCTTTACAGATTGCTCCAATTGTTTATTGGAATCGGATGATGATTTGAAAGTCATGTTTATGGTATGTGGACTGATGAAGGATCAATTAATTCACATTTCTGTTAGGGATAAGGCTCTAGTGAATCATGTTCAAACAGTTAATACGAACATAATTGCTTCTCCTTTTTTGTTGGAGTCTGTTCCTAATAATGACAATGTTGCACAAGATGAGGATACATGTAAAGATTCAAGTGTGGCTGGTAGTATTGTTGATTCAAGTGTAGCTTCTTCTTCTTGTTTGAGTATTGATTTTGATAGTATTAGCAGTGAGTTTGGAAATGATTATTTAGGCAAATATGGTAGTTGTGGAGGTCGTAAGTATTTGTCTACTGATTGGGAGGGTTATATTACTCATGAGGGTTAGAAGTTTGAGGGTGGAGTTTTTGAATTCCATGATAAGTTGGCTAAGTACGAGATTGAGAATGGTTTTAAGATGAAGTATTTGAAAAATGAGCCTTGTCGTGTGACTGCTGTGTGTGCTAAGAAGGAATCAGATGGCTGTGAGTGGCATGTGCATGCTGTTAATTCTAATGTAAATGAATTTTTTTATATTAAGAATTTAAATAACATACACAGTTGCACTGGTTTGATCCGAGAGAAGAGAAATAAGGCAATGGGGTCTCGTTTGGTGTCTTTAATTGTCAAAGATAAAGTTCGTAACAATCCTTTGGTAAGGCCTATTGAGCTGATTACTGATTTGAACGAAAATTATGGATTGGATATCCCTTATCATGTTGCGTGGTATGGGAAGGAGTCGGTTACTAAGTATTTACATGGTGATGAGGAGTTGTCTTATGCTCACCTGCCTTGGTATGTGGATGTTTTGAAGGCCAGCAATGTTGGATCTCATTGTGTGCTTGATTGTGGTGAGGATGGTTCTCGTTTCCAACAGATCTTTATATGTTTCAAGGCCTCCATTGATGGTTTTCGATGGTGTAGGCTTATGCTGTTCATTGATGGTACTTTCGTCACAAACAAGTACAAGGGTACTCTTCTAGGAGCTATTGCAAAGAATGGAAATAAAGGTATGCATTGCTCTTTTTTTTTCACTGCTGTTGTTACAATTTTTTGTACCCGTTATGCAAATGAATTGATGTTAAGTAGTATGAAGTCTTGGTGGATGAAGGTAGGCAACTTACATTCATTTTTGATAGGCATGGTGCTATTATCGATGTTGTTAGGACTGTTTTTCCTTCTTCTCCCCATGGTTTTTGTCTATATCATTTGAAAGACAATTTGAAAAAGAAGTATCCGCATTCTGTTGGTTCCTTTTTCAAGGATCATATTTTATGGCTTTTTTGTAAGTTGTTGTATGCACCGACTGTTAAGGAGGTGCGTAGGCCTCCAATTTATGAGCTGATTGACACTATTAGGATCAAAATGATGGATATGATTTCTAGGAGGAAGCTTGCATCCGAGAAATGGTGTAGTGTTTTGTGTTCGGTTATTCAGGATGAGTTGAAGAATTTAGCTTCAAAGGGTCGTGATATGTCGCGTGAGTGAATCTATATTTGAAGTTCATGCTGATTTGAGTGTTATGGTCAATTTGGACGAGAGGTTTTGCCCCTGTTATCAGTGGCAATTGCTTGGGTTTCCGTGTCAGCATGCAATTCAAGTTATCCATCATTCCGAGTTATGTTTGTACGACTTTGTTGATGAGTATTACAAGGCAGACTTTTATAGGGCTACTTATGCAACCCCTATATTTTCCATACCTGATATTGAGAAGCCTCCTCCTGGAGATGTTGTTCTTCTGCCTCCTCATACAAGAAAGCCTCCGGGACGACCTCCAACAAAGCGCTTCAAGTCAAGCAGTGAAACTAAAAGGCAAGTGAAGTGCAAGAGATGCAGTTCTTGTGATCGTCATAATAGGAGGACTTGCAAGGCCCCTATTTGATGTAAAGGTTCTGGAGTATAAAGAGTTGACTGAGTGTAGTTAGTTTTTAACTAGTTAAAGTGCTATGTGATTGATTAATGACAATCATAGTTGAAAGGAATAGAAATTGATATGCAAGTTGTTAATATGGTGAAATAGCAGTTACTGCATATGAATACTCTTTGACTTTTGGTATTAATACATAATATTTACCATTTTTGGTATTTTGCAAATTTTGGTTTGGAAGTTTGATATGAATTACTGCTGTTTGAATTATCTATAAATCAACGAACACTGTTTAATGCGCACTGTTTACATCATTCTTGAAATTACAAGATAGTTCAATGACATAGTAATAACAAGATAGTTCTATGACATGGTATTAACAATCTATTTCTATCACATAATATTAACATTGTACTTAGAGTGCATTGTTATTTGTTGGAGTTCAACTTTTTAGTTGTTTTAGTGTTATGGAGACCGTTATTTCAGGTTACATACACTGTTAATTCGCGTAAATAAACTGGTTTTTGAATAAGTACATAATTTGAATTTTAAAATCACCTTACTTTAGTGTTCTAAACCTGCACAAGTCCTACGGAACTACAATATAAGCAAGAGTTTTGGCAAAATATTTGATTACAACTTCATTCTTTTGCATTTATCTCTTTTCTCTCTTTGATGGAAATCCAACTTCTTTCATTGCTCATAATCTTCATGAGGACTTCTTTTCTCATTTCTCAAACCTTTTCTTTGTTGAAATCTGATTCTATTTGTTGGTCTTTGGAAAGTTGCTTCATGAAGTACATGACAAAGACGCCACAATCATTGCTGCATAATAGAGATACACATGCAGGAGTTAGTTCAGCCTTTTTTTAGTTGAAGAGGATTTAAGTTTCACTGTTATTGTGTAACTTATGAATTGTTTGCTTGTTGGGGACATTCTCTGTTCTCAGTTAGCTTGAAGTTAGTAGTCTTATGACGAATAAGATACTTCAATGTCCGAGCATATTCTGGTGTAAGTTTGATGCTGGCAAGTATTTTTGCAATCATTTTAGCTGAAGCTTCATTCAGCCCTCTCAGCTTCTTGGCATCAAAATCAGGAATCTGGATGAGTTTTGTCTTCAATGATGTTGCAACACATTCCTTAAGAAGACAGAGGAATATATTTGCTATCTCAACTTGCATTATAGTCAAGTATGTACTTAGTTTCCTTTAAATTTAGTGTCCTATGTATTAACAGTGTTAATCACCCGTCTTACTTACCAAAACAATTGCCTTCTTGTGATAATATTAGAGAGTTTGTTATGATGTCCCCCTGAATGAGTTGAAGTGTGTCCACGTTGCTGCACCGGTGTCAAAGACAAGCAACGTATGGTGGTTCTCATCTGTAATTGGTATGAACACTCTATCAACTCTTCCAATATTTTCTAAGTGGCATATAGAAAGCATCATATGTCAGCTTGTATGAAGCACCTCGCAAAAACATCTGCAAAAGTCATATGTTGGTAATTAGTGAGCATGTTGATGATATAAATTTGATGTATTAGATGTGATCTTACATAGTTATTGGTAGACAAGTAAGCATTTTTTTGTGTCTGAGTGTTCTGCTTCGCATCATCATTAAGGGCCTCTCCATAAGCATTGATGATTAGTGCAGAAATTGGATCATCTCCCATCAGCTTTTCAATGTTATGTTTGTACAATATTGTCCTATTGTTTAGGTGAAAAGCGTCCCTGCAACAATAATGTTGTTCAAATAATAATTCAGCAAATGAAAATCTCATAACAGTTTAATAAGAAGACAGTTCTATGACATAGTATTAACAGTGTAATTCTAGATAGTTCTACTACATAGTATTAACAATGTAATTCTATGACAGATTGGCTTACTCATCAGAATCAGATGCAATTTTCCAGTAATTTTCCAACTTCTTCTTTGATATTTCATCCAGCCTGTTGAAGACCTCATACATGTGCAACTGAAGGTATGTATCTTTGTCCTTTTTTTTATTGGCTGCTTCATCTTCGCTTTGGCTTGCTCTTTTTCGGGCTTTCTTATGTGCTTCGGGGTATGTGTACTCTTGTTTTTTTGCAGGCTTTGTCTTTTCTGTCTTTGATTATTTTGATGCCATAACGTAACTGCCGTGTTCCTACTTCTTTCGCTTGCATGATAACTGATTTTTTAGGAGTTTTCTCATCAGCATTCTCATCTTCAGCATTAGGAGATTCTTGCATCTCCAATTCACTTTCTTCCTTCTCTTCTTCCATTGTGTTATCATCTTTCTGATTGTCTTTTCCATCTGTTCTTTCAAGGTTCTTTGCTGGTTTCTCAATTTTCTGCTCAATCTTTTCTGTTGTTTCACCTTCAACTGCTTTGTTGTCATCTCGTTCTTTTGCTATTCTCTCATATTTTTTCTCCTTATCAGCTCGTTCTTTCATTGGAATTTCTCCTTTTTCCCCATCATATGTTTCAGAGAGGCAATAACAGTGTTTTTTTCTTTCATGCTCTCAATGTAGGACAACTTTTCCCCTTCAAGTAGTTCACGTTATTCCTGTAGCTGTCTCATGTTTGATTTTAGTGCATGAAGTTCCCCTTGTAATTTTCTACTTTCTTTTTGCTCTTGGTCAAGCTGCTTTTTCAGTATTTCGATTTGTTGCTCCAAATCTTCTTTTTCAGCCCATATTTGATGAATGAATGTATTTTTCTTGATGCAGGATTCTATAGCAGTCTGCATCATATCCTTTCGAGTATCTGCCTTTTCAATCCAATAGTCGACTGCTTCCTTTAGCTGTTGGATTTTCTCATGGGTAGGGACTATTTCATGCTTGTAGTACTCTGGGATTGAACCCACTATGTCCTCAAAAATGTTGTCGAAGTTGTCTTCATGGCTGTCAAGTTTTGGATCTTGTTGCCGGACATTAACAGTCCTCTCCTCCGTCATTGTGTCTGCACTAAGGTTAACTGCTTGTTCTTCAATTTCATCATTTGCTTTGCATCCCAATGATTGTGCATTGTCTTCATTTTCCTCATGAAGCACAAGAGTTTTTTTCTACTTAGGTTAATAATAGAATGTTCGCAACTAAAACTGATAATTTTGTTTTTGGTTTCTGGTTGCATTTGGATATTTAAATGATTTACATTTGTTTTTAATTTGTGGAGAAATTTTACCTTTTGCTCCTCTTGTGGAGTTTTTGTCTGGGTAACACTTTGGTCCACATTTTCATGGAAGCTGAAGTTCTGTTTCTGGGTAATAACAGTCTGCTTTTTTCCTTTTCGTGTATGACTCTTTAATTGTCACAAATATTAGAGAGGAGGAAAAAGAGGATTAGCAAATTTATATACATTTATATGTGTTTGTACACTGTCAATTTAGTTTTCAAATATAAATGTTTGATCATTGTAGGTTATCTTACCCAATCTTTAAGTGTGATAACAAAGTCATCATCCTCTTCATTTTCTTCTTGTTCTTCATGGTCTGCATGATCAGTCTTTGTTGCTTCTTCTTCTTTTTCATTGTCAGCAAGTTTTATCTGTTTAATGATTGGAGTCAGTAGTAATTATGGTGTACTAACATTATATGTGTTTATGGAAGTAAGAAAATCCTTAATGTTTTCATATTTTGCAATATTCAGCTTGATATTGAGCTCCGGAAGGCTCCATTTGACAGCCGCTGGTTTAAGATCTTCTCTTCTAGGAATTGGATTGATCAGGTTAGTTTTCTCACACAGCCAATACTGCACACATGTTTTTCAATATAAAGTGTTAATGCACATGAAAACAAATAATATAATAGGATTAACAAATGGATGTAGTTTCTTACCAGGATTAGCACAAGGCAACCACTCACACTTGGTTGATTTGTCTTGTCTTTTTTATTTTTTATGGCTTGGTCCAGTCCAAAATACATGTAATCTAAGACTCCTTGTGCCAAGTTGTAGCTGTTCATTGCTTCTAAGGTGTCGATCATAGTAAAAAAGGTCCAAGCCATTGTCACCCCAGAGTTGCAAAAGAGATTTGTGATGAAGAGCTCTAGGATTAACAACCTCAAAACATCCATTGCATTCTTGTTTTTGTGATATGCTATTGCTATGTTCAGACACTTATCAAGATCAATTTTTATGATTTTTTTGGAATTCTTGAAGTATTTCTCTTCAAAGTCCAAATTTGTTCTTGTGGAAGTTGTTGTGCTTGGCAACTTGTTTCCTTTGTTTGGCAATCCAAAGATGTCAGACACATCGTTGCTTGTAATTTCATACGCGTTGCCTTCACTGAATTTGAATTTTTTGGTTGCAGGGTTGTAGAGTTTGATCAGTCTAATTATTTGATAATTAGACTTCTGGCACTCTGTCTTGGTGAACTGTCCTACCATGTAAGCCTTGATGATGCTCCAAAATGGAGTTTTTTTGTAGGATCTTGAGGACATCCTTTCTTGCTTCAAGCTTGTCTTTTACCTTTTGAATTGTGTTGTCAAATGTGAGCATGTTGCTTTTGATCTGCACATAATTTGGGTTATTGTGTCTGTTTGGTTTAGGTTTTTGTGTTTGAGAATGTGTTCTTTTGATCTTCGTTGTTTTCTTTGGTTTCAGTGTGTTTGTGGATTTGGGTGTGGATGGTTTTGGTGTTTGTTTAGCTTTGGTTTTTGGTTTAGGTGGATTGGCTTTAGGTGTTGACAGTTTGGCTTTTGCTGTTGTTGGTGGTGTGCCTTGTGTGTTTGTGGATGCTATTTTGTGCTTTTGCTGGCTTGGGATCCTTTTGTTTGCTTTTTTTTTTTTTTTTTGTATTTGAACCCAGTTACCTTTTTCCATATGACCACCTGCTAAGTGAAGCAAATAGGTTACTTTAACTAAACAAAAGAAAGATGACACATGAGTATTAATACTTCTATGACATGGTATTAACTGTTTACTTCTATGCATTTGAACCTCATGCTTCTCTTTCTAGTGCACTATAATTTATTTCATATGCATTTCGAGTGCATGTTATATATTTTGGTCTATGACATGGTATTAATCAAGATGCATAGTAGTCCCAGATTTTGACTAACAAAGCTTGCTATATATTTTGGTCTTCAAGTGCACTGCAAAGCAGTGCACTAGAAGAGCAAGATGCATAGCATTCCCAGATTTTCAGTAACAAAGCATGCTATATATTTTGGTCTTCTGCAGTGCACTAAAAGAGCAAGATTCCTAGCAGTCCTAGATTTTGATTAACAAAGCATGCTATATATTTTAGTCTTCAAGTGCACTGTTTCGCAGTGCACTAGAAGAGCAAGATGCATAGCAGTGCTAGATTTTCAGTAACAAAGCATGCTATATATTTCGGTCTTCAAGCAGTGCACTAGAAGAGCAATATGCATAGCATTCCCAGATTTTCAGTAACAAAGCATGGTATATATTTTGAAGTTCTATGACATAGTATTAACAGTTCAAGTTCTATGGCATAGTATTAACTGTTGTGAAACATATACATTGCAGTCAAAACATGCTTCTTTTCAAAACATGTCAAAACATGCTATTGGACTTTGAAGTTAGAGATTTTGTAATACCTGGGAGTTTGATACTGATGCTTTGTCAGTCATTTCTGAAGCTTCTTTGTTTGATTTGGGATGGTCTTCTGTGCTTTTTGCATATGGAGTGTTTGTTTATGGTTGTTGGTCAGTGATTTTTGTAGTTTGGATCTTTGATTCTGTCATTGTTGGAACTTTTCGTCAGTTACCTGTATGAAACGTGGTACTCTTGCATTAGTTAGCCCGATCTTAACACGAAAGTAGAAAGTGAGTTTGGGTTTTTGAGACTGTACCTTCTGTCGATCTTTATGGATGAAATTTTCTTCCTTTTTTCCTAGGTTGTCCTTGTGCTTAGTTGCTGTTTTAGGGTTTTGTTGTGTCGATTTTGAAGACTTGTGGCTATGGCAGATTGTAACTTCGAGTCGCCGGCTTTCTCGTTATGGAGTTTGTCGTTGATTGGTGGTTATGGCAGTTGTCGCCTGCTTTTGGAGTCGGTGTCGCAAAGATAGGAGTGAGAGGTGAGTTGGTTTTTCACTTTTTGGGTCGTGCGTCTCTCATGTTCTCTGCGTTTAATTTTTTTTTTAATGGGCTTGGTGAAATTGGGCTTTTTTTTAAATATAGTTTTATGGGCTTTTTTTATGAGACTTTTTGTGATTTCTTTTAGTTTATTTGGGCTTTTTTTTTTGTCAAATTAGATTGGGCCTTTTTTCTGTATTTTACGATGGCTTATTTGATTTTTTTGGGCTTTAGTTCGTTTCTGACCTCGTTTTTGTCAACTTGGGCTGGGCTTTTTGAAAGTCACTGTTAATGCGCATTTTGAAACCCACTGTTAAGAATTTTGAAAATGAGAAGCTACAGAGTAACAATTTTTTACATTTGAATTTCACTACACAGTAACGACAAAGTTAAGAAGCAGCAAAAGATTTTGTTTAGAAGCTACATATTAACAATTTGACATTTGGAAGTTAGAAGCTACATATTGGACAGTTCTAAAATCTGTGAAATCCATGCTTTCATCCTTTATTCCCTTCTGTGAAATACCAACTTTTTTCACTTCCCATTGTCTTCAATAAAATTTCTTTTCTCATTTCCCACACTTGCTCTGTACTCAAGCTTTCGTCAATTTTTTTTTCGTTGCGACAACTGCTTCATGTAGTACATGACAAATACACCACAATCTTTTTTGCAAATTCACAAACACATATGCAATATTTAGTGAATCATAGTTTAATTTGAATCGGGGGAAGAAAAGTGTTATTGTGACACTTACGAATTTTCGAGTTGTTGGGCGCATTCCCTGTCCTCCTTAAAGTTGAATTTGGTGGGATCATGTTTCATCAGATATTGTATTGTTTGAGCAATTGCTGGGGTAACTTTCAGGTTTGGAAGAAGTTTTGCAATGTCTTCGGTGAATTCTTCATTGTAGACTGGCTTCTTGAACTCAAGAAGTGTGAAGCTGTTTTCTTTTAAAAATTTTGGAGCACATTCCTTCACACTATTGAGAAAGACATTTGAGGTGTCTACCTGCATTGTAGGCAAGTATGTTGTTAGCTTCACTGATTCTTGTTTAACTATTTTGTTAATGCCTTGTGTTAACAGTTCACAGTAGGAGTCTGTCTTACCAAAATTACTGTTTTTTTGTTGTAGTATTCAACTGTTTGCTCCGTTTCCCCCCTCAAAGAGTTGCAGTGCGTCCATTGCAATGAATTGGTGTCAAAGACAAGGAGGGTGTGGTGGCCGTCATCCGTTATTGGTATGAAAACCTTTGATGTTTTCCCTATTAATTCAAGGATTTTGAAAAAATATTCATCAAACGTTCTTGTGTGCATTTTCCCTGTGAGATACCTTTGCAAGATTAATAGTTTCAGCATTAGAAAGAATGTGAAAAGTATAGGAAGATGAATAATTTGTGATATTCACTAGAGGTGATGAGATAGCTATTTTCTTACGCAAGTGTAGCACGTGATGTATGCATTATGTTGTCTTTTTGGGTCCTTCTTTTCATCATGATGAAGTATCTCTCCATACGCATTTATGATTTGTCCAAAAATTTCAGTATCTCTTAATAAGCTTTGTATGTCGTCTTTGAACAAAATGCTTTCCCCTTGCCAAAAAGCAGTGCTGTAACAATATTTGTAGTTAGAAAAAATGTTAATAAAAGTTAAAGAACTATTCAATAAAGTTCCAGTATAGGGTAATAACACTGCTTGTTTGGTATGAAATCCTATTTCTAATGCATGTCTACCACTGTAAAGTTCCAGTATAGGGTAATAACACTGCTTATTTGCTATGAAATCCTATTTCTAACGCTTGCTTACCACTGTAAAGTTCCAGTATAGGGTAGTAATACTGCTAGATTCCTCTGAAATCCTAGTTCTAATGCATGTCTACACCCTGTAAAGTTCCAGTGTAGGATCATAACACTGCTTGATTCCTATGAAATCCTAGTTCTAATGCCTGTAAATCCTATTTCTAATGCATGTTCAATAATAGTGCCTAAACCCATTGAAAATGAATGAAACACATTGCCTTACCCATCTACTAAATGTTGTAGACCTGATATGTATTCCATTGCAGGAATGAACCTTTGGCCCTCTTCTTTGATTTGGCTGGTTCTTGACCTTTTCTTTGTGCCTTTCTCTTTTGTGCTCTCTTCTCTGCTTTAGGGAATGAGGAATCTGGTTCTGTTGCGATCTCTTGAGATGTTGTTTCTTTGATTTTTTTGGCCCTTAGATGCAAGGTTCTTGATTTTATCTCTTCTGCTTCACCTTTTTTCTTTTCTCCATTATCCTCTTCACTCTGCATTTCTTGTGCTAATTTTTTATCTGTCAAAGAGGCAATGATAGCTTCCTTTTCATTTATAATCTCCAAGGTAGGAAATCTTCTCTGCAAGAAGTTGATCATTTTCTAGCTGCAGCTTTCTCATGCAGGATTTTTCCTCATAAAGATCAAGTTGAATGGAATTCTTGTGATATGCTTCTTCCTTAACCAGCTTCTGCAATTGCTCTTGCTGCTTCCTTAATTCTTCTTTTTCATTGTATAGCATCTGAATCAATTTATTCTTTTTTATGCAAGATGCTATTACATCATGGATATTTTGATGCTCTCCTTTCTTTGTCCAATATTCAGCAGCATTATTGATCTCCATCATATACTCTTTTGTAAGCTGTATTTCATCCTCCTTGTATTTTGGGATTGATCAAACAACTTCCTCAAACAACGTTGAATTCTTGTATTCTGGGATTTCAGTTTGAAGGTCATCTTGTAGCTGGTGGTGTTGGTGGACTTCATGTTCTTGGTTCTCATCATCCTCTTCTTCATTTTCTTCTTCAGCAACATCAACATGCTCTTCATGCACTTCTTCAGTAGCATCATCCTCCTCTTCATTTTCTTCTTGAGCAGCATCATCATGCTCTTCATTCACTTCTTCAGCATCATCATGCTCTTCATTCACTTCTTCAGCAACATCATCCTCCTCTTGAACTTTAGTGCTTTTTATCTGTTTGTTAAGTAGAGTTTAGTATTAAGAGTGTACTTCTATGACATGGTATTAAGAGTGTACTTCTATGATATGGTATTAATAGTTTACTTCTGTGAAATGGTATTAATAGTTTACATCTATGACATGGTATTAATAGTTAGCTTCTATGACATGGTATTAAGAATGTACGTCTATGACATGTTATTAACAATGTTGTCATATCAGCTGCAGATTATTTGAAAGGAAAGAGTACCTTTATCTGGTTGTTCTTTAGATGATGAAGCTTCGCACTCAGTTCTTGAAGACTCCATTTGACAGCCCCTGGTGTCATTTGTTCTCTTCCAGGAATTGGAGTGAGCAGGTTAGATCTTTGACAGAGCCAATACTGCACAATTTTTTTTTTGCAATATCACTTGTCAATTCATATCATTAGAATAATGCTACGAATTTGTAGTTTGGAGATTTGTGTTCTTACCAGTATTAGGACTAGGCAGCCACTCACGCTTGGCTGCTTTTTTTTTGTTTGTCCTTCTTGTTCTTCTTTGCTTGTTCAAATCCAAAATACATGTAGTCCAAAACTCCTTGAGCCCAATTATATTTCCCCATCTCTTCTAAGGTGTCTATTGTGGTTGTGTATGTCCAAGCAAGTGTACAACCAGAGTTGCAGAATAAATTGGCCATGAAGAGTTGAAGGATTATCAATCTTGTTACATCCATTGGACCCTCTTCTGTTTCATCTTCAAGTGCTAAGTTCAAGCACTTATCAATTGAAGTCTTTGTTATCTTCTTATAACCCGTGAAGTATTTCTTCACAAAATGCGAATCTGGCCTTGTTGAGCTTGTTGTGCATGGTAACTTGTTGCCTCTGTTTGGCAAGCCAAAAATTTCAGCCACATCTTGGCTTTTCATCTCACTGTGACCATGATTAAACTTGAACTTCCTTGTCTTTGTGTCATAGTCTTTTATGAGTCTCACGATGTCATAGTTAGACTTCATGCACTCTAGCTTTGTTAACCTTTTCTGCATATATGCTTCTATCAGTGGCCAAAAAGGTGTCTTCGATAGCAGTGTCAAGATATCATTCCACTTTTCATGTCTTTGTCTAATGTTGTCAATTGTTGCTATAAAAGAGAGCATGTTGCTCTTGATTTGCACATAGTTTGGGTCTTCCCATCTGCCTGGCTTCTTGTTTGTTTTTGTTTTGGATGATGACTGTTGGCCTTTTGGTTTGGAGGTTGGTCTGGATTGTTCTTTCTTCATCCTTTATTTTGGTATACCTGTATTAGAAATAGCAACATGACAGCAGTGTTAATACCCTATATTGGAACTTCAGAGTGGTAGACATGCATTAGAAATAGAATTTCATAGGGAACTAGCAGTGTTATTACCCTATACTGGAACTTTACAGTGGTAGACATGCATCAGAAATAGGATAATAACATATACTGGAACTTTACAATGGTAGACATGCGTTACAAATAGGATTTCATAGGAAACAAGCAGTGTTATTACTGTATACTGGAACTTTACAATGGTAGACAGGCGTTACAAATATGATTTCATAGGAAACAAGCAGTATTATTACCATATATTGGAACTTTATAGTGGTTGACATGCATTACAAATAGGATTTCATAGGAAACAAGCAGTGTTATTACCTTATATTGGAACTTTATAGCCATTAATCAACATGACAGTAAACTAGCGACTAAATTACTGACTATTTTATGGTCTTATGCAGTCAGTGCAATAGTGAAATCCAATATAGTTTCAAGATTTTTTCCTTGATTCGAATCTAAAATATTGTTATTACCATAGACTAGAAGTTTTTATAAATTTATCAACATTTTCAGTGCAATAGTGAAAATACAATATAGTTTCAAGATTTCTTCATTGATTCGAATCTAAAATAATGTTATTACCCTAGACTAGAAGTTTATATAAATTTATCAACATTACAGTAAGTTCGGTGTTGTAAATGTCTTACCTTTGAAGCTTTTTCGTGTTGAAATCGTCCCCTGAATTTTTCTCTTGGTTTTGTAGGCGGAGGTCACTGTGTGGTATTTGTTCTTGGTGCTTGGCGGTGGTTGTGGAGTTTCTGTCTGATTGAAGATGAAGACGCTTTGATGAAGGTGAAAGAAGCAACGTTTTGCAGAGAAGTTAATAAAAGCGCGTGTTCGAAGTTGAGTTACCGTTTTTTTTTGGACAAAAGTTACGGTTTTCTGGATGGTTAAAATGTTTGGGCTTGTTTATAAATTTGGGCTGGGTTGGTTTTGGGTGTTTTTTGAGTTTTTTTTTTCTGTTGGGCTTATCAGTGGTAGCCCTGTAATATATAGGAACTTCAATACCAATTTGTTATATAATAAATGTATTTTGGGTGTGTTTCTGAAGTGCATTCTATGTGGGATTTTTTTTTTTATAAATTTAGCTCCCATTTTGGGTATATTAGTGAAGCTCCCAAAAAAATTTCGACCAAAAAAATAGTGATGATAATAATCCACGAAGAGAAAATAATAATGAATACAACTTTAACAAAGAGCAAATAATAAAGAATAATACAACTTTATCAGGTAAATTATTCCGTTTGTTATGTAATTTACCCAATGAACGAGCCTCTTTAGCGTTCGTTGTGTAAAGAATTTTGTTTGCTTGGTAACGAGTCCAAATGCCTATAACCCATTGAGTGTCAATGTTACCTAACGAATGCTGAATGAGACGTTCATGGAGTTCATTGTGTAATTTACTCAAGGAACAATATTGTTTACCTAACAAACAAGCCCTTTTTCATTTACCAAGTAAATAATTTCATTCGTTAACTAATTTACTTTTTTGTCAAGGTGTTTGTTAAGTGATTTATCCATCGAACGACATAATTTAACCAATGAACACTGAGGGACTCGTTCATTGAGTAAATCATGGCATTCGTTGGGTAATTTGTTCAAGGGACGACATCATTTACTTGATGAATAAGTCGCTTAATTAGTGTTTGTTAGAATAAATTATTCAATAGAACTTTTGTGATTTACTACTAAATTGAACCACAATGAATTAATGGAAAGAAAATTGAACTTTGTTGATTATCACCAATTGTTAATTAACACAAAAAAAAATCAATAATATCAAACATATTATTGTTGATACAAATATGAATTTAAAAACTTTCAACAAAAAGAATTACTAAATGGTCGAATGATTGAACCACATTGAATTAATGAAAAATAAAATTGAACCACATTTGATAGGGCATATGTGCAATTCTCAGTTTACAATATGCAATTGCATATACCTGTATTCAATTTCTCAGTGTCTGGGTGCAATTGTTAGTTTACAATATGCAATTGCATAAATTGATAATGTTAAATTAGTGTAGTCATGTACTTGACTGGAAAATCTCATTTATGTAGATTATGGCTCCCTAAAGTGCATCACCCCAGGATATTGAAGAAGGGAAAGACCTGCATCAACAAGCATTAATGTAATGAGTACTGAGGAGAGAGCAAGCAACCAAGAAAAGAAGAGATTAGGAAATAAGCATACTGCAACATATCCATTATATCAATCCCCATTGTGCAAAATAACTTCACAGTTAAGGGTTTGCAATTATACTTCAATTATATCAGTTTTGTGAGTCCAAAATATGATTAGGAAATAAGCATACTGCAACATATATCCTAAATCTGAATAAGAGATCTCAATCATGTACTGTGGAGGATTTATCTCAAAAGAAAGTCGGTCATAACGATGACTCGGTGAGCTTGGTAATAGGGTCGCAGCTTTCTCGCGGAAACTACATGGACCAAAATGAGCTTCTCCAATTTCAGGTAGCGAGTCTCTGCATTGAGGAGAGCTTTTGATGTGTAGAATACCGGATGTTGGGTCCCTAGCTCTTCTCGGATAAGAGCTGAGCTGACGGCTGAGTTGGACACTGCCAGGTACACGAACAAGTCTTCAACACTAGGAATTGGCTTTGAGAGCAAGGGAGGTGAAGTGAGGTAAGTCTTTAGATTCTGGAAGGTACTTCGCACTCCTCGTTCCACTTGTCTTTTTGCCCTTTCTTCAAAGTTTTGAAGAATGGTCTGCACTTGTCAGTAAATCTCGAGAGGAATCGGTTAAGGGCCGCTGCTATCCCCATCAGACTTTGTATTTCCTTCACTGTGGAAGGTGACTTCATCTCTAGAATGGCTATGATTTGGTGTGGGTGTGCCTCGATACCTCGTTGTGTGACTAGGTATCCTAGGAATCGGCCGGACGAGACGCCAAACGTGCATTTACTTGGGTTTAACTTCATGCAATACTGGAGGAGCAAGCTGAATGCCTCTGCGAGGTTTTTGATGTGATCTGCACGCTTGGGGGCTTTGACTAGCATGTCGTCCACGTAGACTTCCATAGTTTTGCTGATCTACTCCTTGAAAATTTTATTTACGAGCCTCTGGTAGGTTGCTCTAGCGTTCTTCAGCCCAAAGGGCATGACCTTGTAGCAGTAGGTCCATCTCTCTCAATGAAAGAGGTTTTCGCCTTGTCATCCTCATGCATCAAGATTTGATTTTAGCCGGAGTAGGAGTCCATAAAGCTGAGTAGCTCATTGCCAGAAGTTGAATCCACAAGCTGATCGATTCTTGGCAATAGAAAGTTGTCTCTAAGGCATGCTTTGTTGAGGTCGGTGTAATCGACGCAAACTCTCTATTTGCCCTTTTCTTGTTTTGCCACCAGAACAACGTTGGCTAGCCACTCCGAGTAGGAGACCTCTTCAATGAAGCCGGTAGCTAGGAGTTTGTCAATCTCGGCCTCAATGATCACGACTCGCTCGGGAGTGAAGTTGCGTCTCTTCTGCGCCATTGGCTTGCTGGTAGGGTTAACGTGAAGTCGATGACAGATGATCTTTAGGCCGATGCAGGGCATGTCAGACGATGACCACGCAAACATGTCCTTGTTGTTCTGGAGAAAGGTGGTCAGGTCCACCTTCTCATCTGTCCTTGTTGTTCTTTGAGCCAATCCGCGTTTTTCTGTCTGGCTGGTCAGGATCCAAGGGTATTAGCTCGACGTCCTCTTCGGGTTTTCATCGTTCTTCAAGAGAGACCTCTGGGCAGATTTCCTCCGCTTGGTCTTGACGCTTTAATTGCTATAAGGGAGCGAGATTCGATTGTTCAACTTCCTTCAGATCTGCCTGACTTAAAGGGAGGAACTGCGTTTGTTTGCTTTTCTTTAGCCCTTGGGTCGAGCATTTCCTCGCCATTGCCTGGTCGCTGTTGATTTGGCCGACACTGCCCCGAGGGATTGGGTAGTGGATTTTCTGATGTGTGGCGGAGGTGATGGCGTTGATCTTGCCAATCCATGGTCTGCCCAGAATGCCGTTGTATAGTGAGACCTCATTAATGACCATGAATGTTTGCAAGCTGATTACAGGTAGGGAGTAGACACCAAGGTCTATTGTGCCCACGGTAACCGTTGTTGCACCATTAAAGCCGATCAGCAATCTGGCTGATTTGATGATCTTCGTCTCTAAGCCCATCTGCTGGATGACCGCCAGTTGCAGGATATTGGCTGCGCTGCCTTCGTCTGCATGGATTCGGTCAACCAAGGCCTGAGAGATTTGAATGCTGATGACAAGGGCGTCGTTATGTTGCATGTCGAGGCCGATTAGATATTTCTTCTGGAAGCCGATCACAGGGTCGTCTTCTGCTGGTGGAAGGTCGATTGAGATTTGGGAGATCACAGTGGCCTATTTGATCTTCCTCTTCTTTTCTTTGCTGGTTAGCCCAGACTCCTCGGAGTCAGCTAGGGTGTGTTAATCCTTATGACCTTCTGAGGTGGCTCCTTGGCGACATCACGATCCTCAGTCCGCTGGATGGCCTGCTTCGCAATAAATTCCATGCAATGACCTTTTCTCACGAGTTCTTAAAGGTGCGCTTTCCAAGCGAAGCAGTTGTTCGTAGTGTAACCGTGCGTCCCATGGAAGGCATAATATTTTCTGGTATCCCTCTTGTCCGGATCTCCCTTCAAGGGTGGCGGTCTTCTTACCCAATGTTTGTCCTTCACTTGGGCTAAGATTTGATGTATGGGGATGGAGAACTTGGTGTAGTTCTCTCTTGCCATAACATCCCCTTGTGGGTGTGACTGGCGCTTGTCCTTGTTCCTGTTGCTAAACCCGTCGCTTCTTTGGCCTGCCCGCTTAGTCGGCTGATCTTCCTTCTCAGTAGACTTCTTCACAGTGATTCAATCATCATCCTAGAGCGCATAGCTTTCCACGGTCGCGAAGACCTTTGCCAGAGTCTAGCTAGGAGTGATAGTCAATTCGCGGTATAAGTCGTGTTCAGCTGGAAGGCCTTTCTTGAAAGCAGAGGACGCGATCCGATCGTCACATCCTACAATGTTGGCATTTTCTGCTTTGAATCTCTTGATGTAGTCTCGAAGCGATTCGTCGGACTTCTTGCGTAGGTTGTACAAGTGATCAGGGTTCTTCTTGATCGTCGGGTAAGAGGTGTATTCTTTGGTGAAGACGTAAGCCAGCTCCTTGAAGCTGTTGATCGACCTGGAAGGTAGAGTGTGGAACCAGTCTTGGGCTACTCCTCGCAAGGTCATTGTAAACACCTTGCACATCAGCGCATCGTCAGCCTTGTAGAGGATCGTGACACTTTTGAAGTGTTTTAGGTGGCTCTCGGGATCCGAATCCCCTTTGAAGTGTGTGAACGACGGCGTTGAGAATCGCTTCGAGGGAGCAGCTTGCTCGATTTCCGCTGTGAAAGGCGTAGAGTTTACCTGGTCCATCTCCTTACGTAGTGCATCTTCGAAGTTCCCGCCGGTCTTCAAGTCTTGAAGTCGGTCATTCACAAGCTTCTCAACGTCTTCGGCACACATTTCTGGTTGGCCACGCTGACAACCTTCGCGATTGGGGCGACGCTGATTGACCTCCTTGTTGATTCGCAAGGTTTGACCTTCTCGGCTGTGTTGCCTAAGCGGTGTGTTGGTGGACTGCACTTGCGAAGGATTTTCTGTAGTTAGTTGATGAGGATCGACTCTTCGAGAGTGAGCACCGGAGTGCCTTTCCTCATGGTCCTCACTGTGAGGGTTATCAGGTTGACCTCCCTCGGGGCCTAGCCTTTTGTGAATGTTCCGCTACGAGTGCGCAGCGGTGCGCCTTTCTTCATGGTCCTCATTGTGAGGGTTATTAGGTTGACCTCCCTGGGAGCCTAGCCTTTGATGAACATTTCCCTGTGGGCCCAGGCGGGCGCGGATGTCAAGTCATGGGCCCAGCCTTTCGCGCACGTTGTTCCTTAAACTCAATTGGTGGGTGACTTCGTCTGCTCTAAGTGTGGCTCGCGGATGCTTGCGACATGTCAGCAAGCCGATCACGTTGTTGTCCCTCTCCTTGTCTGCTTATTCCTGCTCGACTTGCTTGGTACCCATTGAGCTGCCTATCGGCGCGTTCGTCCATCCTTTTCTCTTTGCCCAGTGTTCCAAGACTAAGGTTTTGAGCCAAATTTATTTGGTTGAGGAGCTGCCTTATTGCTTTGGTCGTCCATTCTCTGAGCTAGCTGGTCAACTCTCATATTAAGGTCTACTTGACTTCGTGGATCGGGAGGAGAGAAGTGTGTGGAGCCCAATTGCATACGGGCTAGGGTTTAATGGGAGGTGTAAACGGGAGCGTGCGTCGAGCATGGAGGCAAGTCGGCGGTGGTAATGAGCCCACCTTGATGGGAGGTTGCACCATGCTCTGTTGTGGAGCCATGAAGGTGGCTAGATCCAGCCATGGGGCCTTGGGTTGACATGGCGATGGTAGTGGCTAGTGTGGTGGTCTCAACTGCGAGTCTGGTAGGTGGCACGGTGGTGAGAGGGGGTGGTGCCACCATGTCGATCGCGGGATCGTGGGTGGAGTGGCGGTTTTGCCCCTTGTCTTCTTGCTTCCAACCATGGTTGTTTGGAAGGCTTCGGTGGATTGAAAAATAGGTTTGGAGCACGCTTTGAGTATATCTCATGCTCTCAATGAAAGCACCAATTTGTGGGAGCAATTTCTTCCCACGAGAATATTCGATTGAAAGATCCCCCATTCTTTTTTACCGCCTCTTTCTCCCTGCAAAATAGATCGAAATAAGAGGACCACACCCGGGGGGTGTTGGCCAAAGGCCCTCCGATGCCTAAGTTAGTTCAATTGATTCGTAGAGAAAACAATAACTAAATAGGGTATATATATATATATATATGTAAGGTGTAAGCCGGGTGGCCAGAGCTGTGAGTGGTGGCCGGAGCCTTGTGTAAAAGGGAGAAAGAGTATGGCGGCTAAGGTTTGTGAGGGATAATTTTTGTAGAGTTTCAGTAAGAATTTAGACGAACCTCAACCCTTGTGTGTAGCCATCTATTTATAGGGGCCTCAGATGCTAGAGTTTCAGAAGAATAATTCCGTAGAGGAAAATGAATTATTCTTCCTGATTTGGCGAGATTGGCTTAATTAGGGATTTGATTTAAATCAAACCCCTAATTAAGGTAGGAATCAAATCAATCCCAATTAAATCAGGTAACTCCCGATTAAATTGAGTAACCCCCGATTAAATTGAGTAACTCCTAATTAGGTCAAATAATCCCCAAATGGAAGGAAATATTTGACCTAGGGTTTTGATTTAATTTGGTTCCCACACAACTAATGATGAAGTGAATTGGGTTGTATTCACTATTGTTCCTGTATTTAAGTTACTAAGCCAGCACAAGCATAAGCACAAGCACAAGCACTGAGAGAGAAAATGATGCATATAATTGCTTTTTGGGTTTTGGCTAGATTGTTTAATTGATTGAGGGAGGACAATCGATGAAAAAGGTTGGGAGGAGGAGGAGGAGGAGAGAGAGAGAGCAGAATTGAACATACAGGCTGCTTCATGACGGGCTTTGCCCTGCTTTTCAATGAAATGGGAGTAAAAAGAGCGGATACTTGATTTGGCACTGACATGCCCCCAGAGTTATTCAAATGCATCTATTTTGCTAACTTAACAATGTGGCTCAAGTATAACCTCTTCATAAATTGCCAAAGACAGAAAGGCTATTAATAACTCTTGAATTTTCTTTCTTATCTTGAGTGGTGCCATGGCTGCTTCATCCGATCATTCAACTGGAGCAATTTCCCTTCCCTTTGGGCTAAGTGATTAGTTTTACAGACACTTCATATTGGTAACATATGTTATCATAGAGATACTAGCTAATATATTAACAGACAAGTGAGGGTGTAGTCTTATCATTTTTGAGCGGGATATAACTCATGCTCCCATACACAAATATGTCCCTAGCACAAGCTCTTCCACTCCAAAATGAAATGCATGATCAGTTAGGATATCAAATATTTTGATGATAAATGATTCAAGGCATGAGGGCGCTTACCATACGCTCTTTAATGTCAACAAGCAATGAACCAAGTTAAAAGACATGAAAACAAATGGAGACTTCAATATTCAAACATAACCTTGGAGCCCCACATGCCAAAGCACAGCAGCAAGGGAATTCCAATCCAAAACATACACATAGACATCAATCCTTCACAATTGACGAACGTATTACATGCATATGCATCAGTTTTCGTATCTTTGGACAGAGTATGCAAAATAAGAAGTACAATAGTAATAATATATATCTAGCCTCTAAGCCTTTTTTTCATCGTGTTGATGTGCACTGTTACCATCACATAGACCATATCTTGTAGATTGTCTATGAATCAAAAACATGTGTATCTCCATGTCTTGTTAATAACTAAAGAACCACAAACTCCCCAAAATCTCACTATGAACCCCAACGCAGTGAAAATATAGAACCACTGAAGTTGATGAAGTCCATTGTCCACGTCTTTATTGTTCTTTTTATTTGCATCAATGCCCTTACTTGGTCCACACTTATTTGGAAGTGGGGCACCACAAAGTTTTGGATTCCCCTCAAAGGCAGAAGCGTTGAAGCTTTGGAGTTGGGTGCCTATTGGTATTGGTCCTTCAGGATTATTGTATGAGGCATCAAATTCTTCCAAAAAATTAAGGCTCGCCAATGACGATGGGATTATTCTAGACAAGTGATTCATGGAGAGGTCCAAAATCTCTAAATTTTTCAAGTTAGATATTTGGTCTAGAATGACGCTTGAGAAGTTGTTGTAGCCAAGAGATAGCCAACAAAGAAGGTGCAATTGGCCGATCTCAACAGGTATATAAAGTTGCAATTGGTTCATAAAGCAACATTGGTAGTCTACAAAGTTTCTTTGGAAATTCACCTAAAATTCGGTTGTGTGCCAAGTCTATATAAAACAGTCTTGGAATGTTGCCCAACCAACTTGGAATTGGCCTTGTGATTTGATTAAAACCCAGAGTCAAGAACTCTACACTACTACAAAAAAGGCAAAAGACGACGGGAATTCACCGTCGTGAATTTGGTTTTCAAACCGTCGTAAAATCGATCGACGTCTTTTGAAAAGTAAAACCATGACGCGAAATCACAGTCGTTGTTATGACAAACAACGTCATTAACAAAAAAAAACCGACGTCTGTATACTGAAAAATGAACCTAAAAATTGTCCTGGAGAAGAATAGACGACCTATTTTATACAACATCCGTCGTGTAAAATAAAACAATACGTCTTTAAATAAATAAAATATGACGTTATTAAAACATACGATGTCCAATATATTTATATAACCGTCGTGAAATAGTATTGCCACTTCGTTTTTTCCTCTAATATTGACGTGAAAATGGCAGTTAGGGTAAATCACCGTCGTTGTTGTAACAAACAACGTCATTTACAAAAACAAAATCGATGTCTGTACACTGAAAAATGAACCAAAAAATTGTCATGGAGAAGAATAGACGACCTATTTTATACAACATCCGTCGTGTAAAAGAAAACAATACGTCTTTAAATAAATTAAATATGACGTTATTAAAACATACGATGTCCAATATATTTATATAACCGTCGTGAAATAGTATTGCCACTTTGTTTTTTCCTCTAATATTGACGTGAAAATGGCAGTTAGGGTAAATCACCGTCGTTGTTGTAACAAACAACGTCATTTACAAAAACAAAATCGATGTCTGTACACTGAAAAATGAACCAAAAAATTGTCATGGAGAAGAATAGACGACCTATTTTATACAACATCCGTCGTGTAAAAGAAAACAATACGTCTTTAAATAAATTAAATATGACGTTATTAAAACATACGACGTCCAATATATTTATATAACCGTCGTGAAATAGTATTGCCACTTCGTTTTTTCCACTAATATTGACGTGGAAATGGCAGTTAGGGTAAATCACCGTCGTTGTTGTCACAAACAACGTCATTTACAAAAAAACCGACGTCTGTATACCGACGTGTGTATATATATACTACGTCTTTAAATAAATAAAATACAACGTTATTAATGTATACTATGTCTTGTATTTTTACATAACCGACGTGGAAAATATGTTAGGCTCATGACTTACGACATATTTATTCCTATAAACGACGTAGTATGTGATATACAACGTCGTGATCATGTAAAAGACAGCCGTGTTTCTCTATTTATACATCGTCTTTAGTAAAATATTAGTCGTCTAATCCATCCAAGACGTCGTCTTTTGTAACGTTCAGGTTCGATATCTGTCCTTTTAGACGTCGGTATTATTGTACTGAAGTCGTGTTATTTGTAATTACATGTCGGCTCTTTATCATTTTCCGACGTGATATCGTTAATAACTGTTTCACAATAACGTCGTCTTTTTTCACTTTTAGTTCGCTTTTAGACGTCGGTAAATTGAATGCCGTCGTTGAATGCTCCAAAACGTCGTTTTTAATTGACAATTTTATGACAACAGACGTATGTTTTTCACAGTTTTATAAGGACCGTCGTTT